ATCATCACATAGTGCACGGAATGTGATGCTAAATCATCACTTGGAAATAATTACTATTTTCATGTGATGATTTATCATCACACCACGTGCCCTTGTGTTGATTTGAAATCACGCTCTTGCGATGCAAACCCTAGCATATTATGATTATCCGAAGCGTAGTGAGGACTTACATGTACATGTAAAAGTTAAAAAATGTCCGTCTGTCCGGCACGTGCCTTCATTGTTACTAGACCTTTGACTTGAAAATGTCCGCCTGTCTGGCACGTGACTTTATGTGATTGGCTGATTGTCCGAAGCGGCGAGGACTTGTAAAAGTTAAAAAATGTCCGTCTGCCCTCCACGCGATATTATTCTTATTGCCCGATAATTAATTAATATTAATAACGGTAATAATATGTCAAGCTTCTAACCTAGTAGTTAAACGGCATGATCTAAAAATAGAAACCCAAATTATATGAATTTATGGTAATTTAGTCTAAAAATAGGTGGGCAACGAGATTTGGATTACTTTCCATTAGGTCCTCGCTATGCCCCGGGCAATGATTTTAAATACTCCACCAGATATGGAGCGATATACGTAATATGTACATAAATAGACAAATTAAAAGAACCTTGTAAGTAACGTAACGGTAACGGTAATACGTACTGTAATAAACAAATAACGATAGCCTTTTACAACCAATTACCTTTTTTAGAATTCACCGGAAGAATACCTAAAAATTCCGTAAGGTATTTACAATTAACAATGCAAGGTCATACTTTGTAAAGATAATGCAACAACAAAAGAAATTTACGTACAAATTAATGTTTTTCTAGTTCCTTTACTAGTACAGTGAAATGATTATACCTGAGGTTGATGCAATATTTAGAATAGTGTTAGAAACCAATTGAATTTTTTTTTTTAAAAAAATCTCATAAAAATTTTCTTACCAAATTTTTTCAAACTAATGTTATAAATTACTAAATATATTAAAAAATAGTTTTTTAAAAAAAGAATCTCATGAGAACATAAAATTTCAAACAAGCACTGATTAATGTCAATAAAATCAGATATATCAGATTATATAAACAGTCTTTTTAGTCTTTTACAGTGTTAATGAACAAGTGTTAACTATACATCTTTTAATAAAATTTAAAAAGTTATCATAAGTACATAATAATTCATTACATTATTTTTTTATAGTACAAGTATACGGATCTCATTTGCGTAAACATTAACACTAACTGGGGCCTAATTGAGTGTTAAAGTATTTAACCACCATTTTATATGTTTAGATAAAGGACTATTATTAATCTAAGAAATGATCACAATATGTATAATATTACTCGCAGATAGTTAAATATTACTATAATGATAAACTTCCTAGCTAATGTTGCACAAAAAGGGAATAGAGAAAAGATAACTAATTACTTTATGCTGTTGGTGAGGCAGCTGCTGGAGGAGGAGCTGCTGTTGTAGATGTTGGAGTAGGAGTTGATGTATCTGTTGGAGCTGCCGCAGTTGGAGCTGCTGCCGCTGCTGGAGGTGCTGCTGCTGGTGCCGCTGCTGGAGGTGCTGCTGCTGGTGCCGCTGCTGGAGGTGGTGCTGGAGCAACAGTACCACCTGCATTGTTGACATTAACTGGAGCAGGAGCCACCATTGGTGAACGTTTTAATGATTTACATTCACCATAAATCACAAGATACAAGCCAGTTTCTGGACCTTCATCTTGAAGTGTTTTCGGTATGTATATTCCATAATCATCACCTTCATCGCCACGTTTAGACTTATCTTCTTTATAAATGTCTTTATCACAGGTTTTATATTTAATCCCATCATTATTACAATCATAGGTCAAATCATCAACCTTAATTACCCATGGGGTAGTTCCATCAGATCCCATATCTGACGAGATACATTCACCGTTTGTTATTGTTTTTCTTTTACTAAGAGAATCTCTCGTATCAAGAGAAGCTCTCACTTTTTTTGATCTTTTTGATTTACTATCTTTACAACAACTTTGATCCTTATAACCATTACAACAACTGCAACCAAAATATTCCGGATGGAGAATCTTGGTGAGGTTATAAATAGGATCTCCGCACCCATTTCGAATTGACCAATCATAATGCCATTCTTTACTATCAAAAAAACCGTATTGATATGTTCCCGAAACATATATAGTCCCTTTTGGGTTCTGAAATAATGTGAGTTGACCCTTAACGCTTTGAATGTGGGAGGCCGTAAGGAAAGCATACGGACAAGATGCTTCATCCATAGCCTCTGAGGAGGCTATTAAGATGATTAGAGCGATTAAAAGGTTAATCATTATTTTTAAGTTCATCATTAATAAGTTACTATCAAATATTACAGTGATATCTGAAAGTAAGGAATCAAAATTCAGGGAGAAAGACGTCTTTATATACTTATTTTTCGGCATAGTTTTTAATATTGTTTACGTAAATTCTGAAATTCTAAGCCGAATTTCTACGGAAGTAACATTGCACTTGGTTGCATACGCTTATCATCATTGTCATCACTGAAGATGTTAATAGTGTAAAGTCATTCAACAAAGTTTTCTCTCATGCTTAGTTACAACAAATATTTTTGGATAATGACGATCTAAAAACGGATATATTTGATGTGACGTTATGTTCATATCAGTTTTAATGTTTATTTCTAAGTTTGGTATTCCGATTCTTTTTTAAGTAATAAACACCTATTAACACCTATTTGTAATGCATTCTTAGTTATTTTTGACCTTTATAAAATTTTAATGTTCTTTGTCAGTTATCGTTATTGAAGGCTTAAAGTTGTAATTTCCTAAAATTACTAAATGATGCATGCAAAAGATCTGTTATCAGGGCTAATTTCATCGGTGAAACTTCAGGCGTATAAAGTTACATTCAAGTCTGACAAATATATATATATATATTGTGATTTCTATCTTAATGAAAACAAAATACGATTAAATATTATTTAATTATATAATAAAATCAGTTTTTTATTTTAAAATTAAAATAATTTTCTCTAATATATATTAAAATTTTTTTTATGAATCTTCGCAAAACCTATTTTTATAATTAATTAATTAAAGCTTCTTTTTTTTTTGCATACTACTTATCTTGGCTATAGCAATTAAAAAACATCTGAACATTTAAAATACTTTTATCAAAATGGTAATGACATTAAACCTGAAATTAACCAGCGCCCATGTTTACATTGGTTCCATCTGATAAAGTTCGAATATACAATACATAAAAATCGAACTATAATTTTTTGATAGAATGCGGCTTTGCCAGATTCTTTATCAGATAAGTGTCATACACTATAGAACATACAAATAAATCGAACTACAATTTTAGAAAACTTTAAATTTAATTAATATCATATTTATACTAATGAATTAACACGATTAAATAACTGCATTACAAATAAGCGAAAATATATAAACAATTACAATCGTGTTTTTGTTTGTCTTTTTTCAATTAGTAAAATTGGCATTGTACTGTGAACAGATACTAATTGGTATTTGGACATTTGCATTCGGTTCTTCAATTTCTTTCGGATTTAGTTTTGTTAGGCTTTCAATATATGTATTATGTTATTTACATATCGTTTAATAGTGGTAAGGGAATGAATAATCATCTTCTCTAATTAAAATAAAGTCCTTTTAACTAGTTAAACAAGATATTACATGTGTAATTTTTCTTTATTATTGTTACTTTTGACTTTCGTGATTTTCGGATTCTCGTGATTTTCAGGAGAAGTGAAACCTAGTTCATAACGATCTTAAATGCGACGACGGAATTTTATCTAAATAGTTCGAGCAGTTTGCCCCTATATAATATAACCACACAGTACGACAACTAAGGCCACAAGTTTTATCGCTTAAAACAATCGTAATAATAAATTAATATATATCTAAATCAATAACAAGCGAAATATTGATTTTAATACAACTTTTATTCAAGACAGAAAGCGAAAAGAGGTCACATGACTCATATTATTATTTTCTATCTATTTCTTCTAAGAATAGACCAAATTTTCCTTTTAATCTGTTTTTGATAAATAAAATATCAAAATAAAAAAATAAAATAGGTAAATTTGAATAGGAAAAAAAATAAATAAAATCGAGAAAAAACTAAAAAAAGAATAATGACTAACTAAATATAATTCATTGTATTTCATTGACAACGGTAGAAGCAAAACCTTAAGATTACCATGGAAGTAATTAATATTAAAAATATAGGCG